ATATATATATATATAATTCCCATCGTTGACGTTACACTGTTATTGGATCACTTGAGAACGTAAAGACGGATCCTATCGGCTTCAGTGAAGCAGACACAAAGTAGAGTAGCGAGCGATACCGTTACTAGCAATCGCCACCGCCTTTTGCCTTCGTCTCTTCTCTTTTGTGATGGCAGGATAATAGCGTGATAGTACGATTGCGAATCCGTTTCTCTTTGTTAATTAAACAAGTTTGTAATCGCAGGATTAGAAGCGGAGCAGGAAAAGACATGCAGCCGACATGTTCCCTTTATATGCAAAAACCACATAAAGTGGTCAGTAAATATTCAGTCTTATTTTAGACACGAGACAATTCTCTTCAAATAAAAAAATAAGATTGATCCATGCATCATAATGGATAATATAACGCATTAAGTGCGTTTCTTTTCACGCATTTTTTTTCGCTCTCGCACGAACGCAACGTTAATAGGGTCAAGAGACATTTATATACGACGTCAAAGAGCAAGAAGGTTGTCGGATATTGCGGAAGCAGCTTGTCATTTTCCGCTTGGTTGACTGGATAAAGCTACTTACAAGTGAATATTGGACTCCTTGAATCTCACTGTGGACTTGTCGTGTGAATGGTTAGTGAACATGATGTTACGCACGGCAGAAATTACAACGAGTAACATCACTGTCTAAATGGCAATTGAAACCGTAAGCTTCAGAAAATTGTCTCTAACTTATGCGAGGTATTCTGGTCGTGCAACGTCAAAAATGACGAGTACGTGACACCCTTGCGAGGAATATCAGCGCATGTTAAACGAAACATTTTTAGCATAATTAATATATAGCCTCGAATGTGTATGTGTGAAGCTAATTATTAGCGTGTGGCCAAGCTGATATTTTGAGCAATTTATATCCGCGCAAGTCTGTAACTCAATTCGTACCACTGTTACCGGTTCCCACGATTGAACGCTTTCTCTCTTGTCAAACTCGTTCCATGCGCCTGAAGCCCACGAGATTTCGTGTTGTTTGCGAACCCAGCGTGGAAAATCGATGCATTAACACGAAACAATAGCGCAAAGTTGCGAATCAGTTGACACATGGGAGAATTTTGTGAAAATATTATATGCAATAATACGTTGGAGTAAGTTTAATCACTTGTGTTTTTTTCCATCGAGGAAGAAACAAAGCTCTTAAGAATTCCGAATATTTCGCACTTTTGCGCGATTGCCTTCAAATGATAGAATATGGACAAAGATATTGACGTGGAACGTCACAGTTATTACTGGTCGGTTGCAAGAAATCATTGAGCAAGTGAGAGTAATCATCATTATTCTCGGTTTACCACACGTATCCACGCGCAACTCGGCTCGAAGCAAATGCGGCATTCCCAAGTGGCCGCATTGACTATTACACGGCCAGTTAACTCAATGCAACGTGAGAAATTAATTCATACCTGCCGTGACAGAATTGGATTTCGACAAATTGCGCGGAGGGTTTACTTCCTCATCGCACATTGTTCTTTTTTGGAGAAGGAGCTTTCACCGGAAATCGTAACGACGCGACAGCGTTAACGCGATTCGTCATGTCTGACGCAAGCATCCTGAACGCGGCACACGATTTCAAAAGGCATGAAAAATTCGATTTTAATATGCAACTAATGTAAGGACCGTTTACTTAACGTTGAGGGAGGGGGAGCGCGATTCTTTACTTTATTTAATTATATACTTGTCTTTTTTTTTAATGTTTCAAGAGAGTCTCTTCAAGAGTTCCTTGTCCCCAGTCATGTATCACATGTTCGGATGCTATGCTATTGTTGTCAAACTAGTCTTGGATTTATGGTATATGATATCGCCTACTATTGAAAGTGAGATTGAAATCATGCGTCGTGCGTTGGTCGATGACCAGGTTACCTTGGTATTCATGTCGCTCTTGCAAGATAGTTAATTACTTACAACACTCGTATCGTCGGGATTGACACGAGCATTCATCGATGCACGGTAGAGTCTTCATTATCATGGGTATAATTTAAAAAATCTTTAATAATCAACATAAATAATCCCAAATTAATTCAACTTATGTTGAAATCGCGTAAATAAAAATGCGCTGCTAAAAACAAGGATGTAACTTATAGAAAGCGGCGAGATCAAGCGCATTTACGGATTCGCAACGCCCTTTTTTTACTGCAGAATGTTGACGAGCCTATCTATCATCGTCATAGAATCTCGTTGTTGACGCAATACTACTTGTCGCCGCCGTTAAACGAATCTCGCCGGGAGCAATCGTAATTCCGATGACGAGAAAAATCTTTCGGGCATTAGCGGGGAAAGGCGGGTCGCCAACCGCGCGACATGAATGGACGAATTGTTCTTACGAAACGAGCATAATATCCCCAAGGGATTTCTCCTCTCGCATATCGCGCGAGAAAACAGGCTCAAGGTAGCCGTCGCCTATGCAACCGCGATTATGCAGCTGCGTACGTGGAAGTCGATCGTCAGGTGCGTTCGTGTATCTCGATCGTTATTCCCTTGCGGTTGCTCTCGCGTGCCTTCGAATACCGGAGGCGCTGAGAATTACAATATTGTGCGGGCATGGAAAACTATGCGAAAATTATGCAACTCTACAATAAGAGAAATGGTTTGCCCTCAAACACCGCCAGCTGGGGTATTTTCGCAATTTTACACAACGTTCACTCGATCTTGTGTATTTCTCAGAGTCATTAAAAAATATGTATATACAAGTCAATCTATTTTATTTACTCGAAACCTATCCTCTCTTAAGTTTAATATGCATGATGCGTATGTACAAGGTGAGACGCGGCGGAGATTGGCGAATCGAGACATTTCATAATGCGATTCAAGTTTCGCATTAAAAATATCGTGTTGTACGCGATGTACGATGTCAAACACGGATTCTCCCACGTATGCCGGGATGCAACTGCGATCATTGCCGATTGTTGGGTAACGTGACGCGACCGGTTCGTCGGGGGCCGCAAAACGGCCCGGTTGGCCGGAGGCCAGACGCAGGAAAGAAGGGCGACGCGAAGCGTCGACCAGCTGACCCAATGTGCCCGGACGAGGATGACCTCGAACAGCCGGGTACATCGGTCCCGATTGCCGCGGTAACAAGAAATACCCGTCGTCGAATAACCGGATGTCACCTGCTCCGGTCATCCCTAGTTCAACATCACTGGATCATGCCCGAAGAAACGCGATGCAGTCCCGTACACCAAAAGTGGTGGCAATCGACGCTGATAAAATGAAAAATTAAAAAAAATTGCACCAGATCGTGACAAATTATTCTCAAAGAATTATATACAGTAATGAAAAATGTCTTATTTTCTCTGACTAAATTAATTCTATCGTCGCTAATCAGGTTACAGCGACGTTATAATGAAAAGGGCAAAATGCGCAAAATTATCTGTCGCGATATATCGTATATATGAAGTCACGTGCGCACGCAAGTATACAGACACTCACGTGTACGCGGAAATAAAACAACGTGGAAATATTCCTCGCGAGAAGAGGAGTCGGTCAGATAACTGTACGTCGCGGCCTCCGGACGACATCTTTGGTGTCGCCGATGTCTGGCGTCCTTTACATATCCATATCCGTAGACACGCTCATTTCTAAACGTTTCTTTTTTTTTACTCATTTATTCCTATCATTTTCTTGAATTGCGAGTAATATGTAATCAAGTTTTCTAAATCCGCGGAAAAACCTTGCAAGTATCATATTTAAGACTTCAATTACCATCCCTCTTACTGTGTAAATATCAGAAGAAGAAATTATTATTTCGATGTAGAGAATATCTCTGTAAATACGAAGTGAATGTGTCGACATCCATATGACGCATAGCAATTATTTCGCGAAGAGCTATGACCAAATAAAGCTCCTACTATCCTTCAATAAATTTCCTTTCACCACCCACCGTTTCCTCTGTCAAACTAAAACAACGTGGAAATATTCCTCGCGAGAAGAGGAGTCGGTCAGATAACTGTACGTCGCGGCCTCCGGACGACATCTTTGGTGTCGCCGATGTCTGGCGTCCTTTACATATCCATATCCGTAGACACGCTCATTTCTAAACGTTTCTTTTTTTTTACTCATTTATTCCTATCATTTTCTTGAATTGCGAGTAATATGTAATCAAGTTTTCTAAATCCGCGGAAAAACCTTGCAAGTATCATATTTAAGACTTCAATTACCATCCCTCTTACTGTGTAAATATCAGAAGAAGAAATTATTATTTCGATGTAGAGAATATCTCTGTAAATACGAAGTGAATGTGTCGACATCCATATGACGCATAGCAATTATTTCGCGAAGAGCTATGACCAAATAAAGCTCCTACTATCCTTCAATAAATTTCCTTTCACCACCCACCGTTTCCTCTGTCAAACGCATCACAGCAGCCTTATGCATCCAACATTGCATGCAAAAATTAAGCATACTAATTAGATCGTTTAAAGATATACTATGCGTTAAACATATCTTTTTTTTTCTTTCACAGATGGAGCTTTATCGAATAATGTTAGGGCTTCCAGGATGGAAAGGGATCTAGAGGGTAAGTCTCCGCAAATGTTTATGTAATGTATCTAACAAATCTATGCTAGTCGTGACACATTTGCGACACCTGAATCACACTGATACACGCAGACAAGGATTGCACTCAAAATTGTGTTTTCCCTAAACTTAAAGGATTCGATATAAAGTATTTAATTTTCTATTTAATTGTAACATTTTTATTTAGTTTAAATATATAACAAATTTATTAAAATATAACAAAGCTTGAGTGCAATCCTATGATATCGAACAATCTTTCCGCTTTGTTCTTTGTCTCTGCTCTCTAATCTCTTCTCACAATACATCATTTCTCGTCTCAGTTCTTTATGTGCGTGTTGACGCGAGGTGCGGCCGTGTAAATAAAATTCTCAAACGGGCAATACTTTTCTATCGCTAAATTGACTACGATATGTATATGTCATTTCATTTTGATGGTATTTGGCCTGTCATATGATTAATTGCGAAATGCTCCTTCCCAAAGACATGAAAATTCATCATGCTGCCCGGAAAACATATTTTGATATTCTTTCAAAAAACCTACACGATTCGAAAATAATAGAATTATATATAATATTTTTGCTATTTAAATTTTTAGATATTATTTTAAAGAATAATAAACTTTTTTTTTCTTTTTATCATACATTTTTTCATATATTACTCGATAAGCATAGAATTTTCAAGATCTAAGGGTTATACATAAGCAATTAATGATTAAACATCTTTCTTTTCCTTGCATGCCTATGCTGTTTCTATTCAAAAAACTGTTTTTTTTTTTCACAAAGTAAGATAATGACGTAAATTAAGCAAGGTACCACGGATATAGTATTACAACAGGTGTCCTAGGCTACGAAAGAAGAAGGCTAGTCTACTAAGATCGTCTATCTCTTTTTTTCTGTTTCTGTTTACTGCTCCCGTCTGCTCCCCGCCTTCAACTCTTCTCAACAACTGGATGCCGTCTGCCTCCAACGTCCGTCCGCCACTCCGTCTCTCCGACGACCTACATTACAATAAAAAATAACAATATACGCGAATTGCATCGACCGCCGATGTAAACGAACGTCAACGCACGGTATATGACAATTACGACACGAATGAATTCGCAAATGCGAAACGTGGCTGAACGAATCGAATTCGTTGCACACATTTGCGCTTGGTTTTGAACGGAAAACGTATTTTGACTTCATGTCCCGTTGCAATCGCTTCCCTCGTTTTTGCTCGTTCTCGATAATTCTATTGATAAATCATCGACGTACTACGATGGCGCGTATTTCACGTGGTTAATGATTTTCCATTGCCCCTGGTATTTTCTTCACTTTCGAATTTGACTCTTCAGGAGTGACTACAGTCCTCTTGGTTTCGGCACGTCCCGGAAAGTCTGTACCTCCAGTTGGATTATTGACAAAAACCGCACGAACGTTTGTGCAAGATGGGGCAAGCACCGAATTCGCCACTCAAGTTCTTGGTACAACTTTAGACAACGGTCGCCTCTACGCAAGAATTCTATCCACATCCAGCAGAGTGTTCTATGATAAAGAGCCGACGCCAGATCCATCAAGTCCCTATGTCGTTTATCCATCGAGAGCGGAAAACAATTGGCGATTTAAGGTAGCCCTCGATAACGCACCGATTAAAGCTATCGAAGAAATAAAAGTGCTGAGTGGTGATAACGATGCGGAATCGAACGATTCTGAGAGGCAGAGGAAAACTGCTAGTATAAAACTGGACGAGTTGTCCAAAGAGAACGATATATTTAATAAAAGAGAGTTAAATGTAGATGCACAGAGATTCAAACCGGCAAAGGTACGACCGGCCGACGATTTGCCCACTTATACTGTTAAACACGAGTACGTGACGAGCAGCTTCGATTCGTTCGACGATGCGCAGTCTAAGAGTTTCAGGCCGCGAGAACCGAAAATCTTTAAACCGCAAGTTCCGAAGGCTCCGCCGCAAAGAAAAGCGGAGACGAAACCTTTTGCTACGGTGACCTATCACGGTTTCGCGGACTTCACGACCACGGTCGGCGACACCGTCATCATCTTCTCGCCGAGCACGTCGCCGGCGCCCATGGGACGCCCTGCTACTACTATTAAAGGCGACGCTACGCTTCGTCCGGACGATGGCGTGGCAGTGCTGAAGATTCGTCCTACGACTGTGATGGAACATGCAAGAACCGATCGACCTTACGAAGGAGATCGAAAGCATGCTTCGGACGATCAGCTATTGAGTGCAATTAATCGCGGTAATATTCAACCGAGTGTCACTGAGGAGACTGAAGCCGAATCGTCCACGATATCCACGGAACCGTTACTACTGGTACCCGATGTCGAAACGGGATCATTGAAGCCGACAGGTCTTCTAAAAGTCATCGACTCTACTACTTCGTTGGACGGTACTACGACTCATTACAAGAGCCTTATTTATGGCACGTATATTGGCACAAACTATGCGCAAATTATTCACACGTCTTCAAATGTATATTATTTCCCGGATGAAGCTACTGTAACATATGGAGGAACTGACGATACCACGGTGGATTATGGTACAACCGGAACGGAGTCTGACGAGCAAGATACCACTGTCGAGACACTGCCTTCTACTACACCGACGACCAACGAAGAAACACCGTTCGAAATAAACGAATTGACCACTCCGTTGAGAGGTACAACGGATAGTGTCTTAACAACATTGAAGGACATTTTAGAAAGTGCGAGAAAAGTGCTAGGGACGACCGAATCAATACGACCGATGTTAGATTACGAACTTCCCAATGATATAATGTCAGGAGAGCCTCAGGGTCGTAGTATTAAAGGTGGCTCTTCTCAGAATAATCATCAGTCCGGCAAAGACAAGCCGCATAGATTTAAGTCGGATAATACAGAAGAGAAAGTAACGTTAGCTACTAAATTACTACCATCTACCGTCTACAAGACGTTCACATATTTCACGACTTTCTTTATTCCGGACAATGATCAGACTACCACTTCTATACGCTCTCGAGAAGTAGTCTCTTCCGAGATAACCTTTTTGACGGAATTAATTGGACCTACCTCGACCGACAGTTCGATTCAATCTACTTTGTTACCAGATACAAAAACACCAAGTTTATCCGACGAAATCGAAGAAGAGCAGACTACTAAACAAGACGAGGAAATAGAACTCATCTTTAAAACTTTGTATACGACGTATACGTATCTAACAACATTCTTCCAAGAAAATACATCAAGTGTATCCAGTCGACAAGTCGTCGAGACTAACGTTATCACGCAGACCATTGGACCAAACGGCGTTTCCGCCATTGTCGCCGGTCTCTTTGACAAAGACGAATCCGTTTTGATATCACCGACAACAATATCGCAGCATATCTTCCCGTCCGTAACAAACGCTCAAATTCCTGAGGAATTTAACAAAGGTACCGAGCCTTATAAAGTTTCTGACGAAACGACGGAAGAAAATTTAACCACTTTCCAACAGCAGGATACTACTGTACACGAGAACATTCCAACGGAATCTATCACAACAGTGGATGATTTTGAGACATCGGACGGATGGATCACTGATTTAGAACCGAGTCCTACCCCGGCTATAGCGAGTCAAGCGATAAGAGAACAAGTGAAAACGTATTACACTACTTATACGTATTTTACCACTATCTTTGTGGACGATGAAACGGAAATCGAGACACGAACTGAAGTCTTCACTAATATCGTCACAGAGACTATTACGCCCACAAACGTTCAACCGGTTCCACAACAAACGACTCAATCAGCGACGCCAAAATCTGAATCTGCCGAGAATAAGCCTGCAGTTCCTCCAGAGATCTTGGCATATTTAGAGGCGCTTCAACGTCAAAAGTCTCAAGAAGAGGCGCTCTTATTGGCAAAAAAAATTCAACAAACCAATACTGACGAAGCAACGCACGCCGAAGAAGTCACAACTCTGACCGAAAACAACACCGAGTCAACAACGGAACTGCTTACTACCTTGGAAGATCGGTCCACTAAGCATCTAATCAACAATTTCCAAGTAGGCGCGCAAGTAACACCCAATCCTCCGGCTGATATGAAAGTTCTGGGCTCTATGATTACAGATGTTGTGTCATCTTCTAGCTCCGGTGGTGGCACCGTTCTGGATGTGATGGATAAGAGAAATGCCGTTCCTGAAGATCAAGAACTGTCAGAGTCCAATAATCACGAAGTAGAGCCGGCACCGACGTTACTTCTACAGACTAGTTACACGACCTTCACGTATTTCACGACAATGTACAAAGGCGACCAAACGAATGTCGCCAGCCGTCTAGAAACAGTTACGAATGTCGTCACAGAGACTTTAAGGCCGTCTCTCGTAGTGCCGGTTCCGACCAGCACATTGCCGGTGACGTACTTCACAACCTTTACTTATTGGACGACATTCTACAAGGGTGGCGATACCATAACCACTAGTCGCGAGGAAACGGTCAGCAACATCGTCACACCAGGAGTTTCGCCTACGCCTACGGTGGAACTTGATGTAATAATGACGTACACGCCAACCGTGAATCCACTGTTGGAGGAGGATTCTCTTGTTAACGAACAAGAATCCAAAGTCACGGCGGATAATGAAGTTACGCCTTTAGGCAACACTGCTCCTGAAAAATCAATTACCGAGAACACAAACGTATTGTCTAAAGAAATTATAACCAGCTCTAACAATAAGAACGCCGTGAATACTTCGTCAATTTCGCCCGAACCTACGACTTTTTATACTACATTCACTTATTTCACTACCTCCTACGTCGGAAATCAGACGATTCTAAATAGCAGATTGGAGACAGTAACCAGCGTATCGACGCCGGATATTACAACGCAACAAGCGACCGGTCGCGCAATTAACGGCCCTATATATCCATCGATTCAAATATTAAACACCGATGAAAAAACAAGCGTGACACCCTCCAAGGCATCCGATAATCTCAAAACAGGTTTGATCTCGACGATACGTTCAAGTGAAGTACATGAAGATATTACGACACATTACACGACAGATGTATACGGTACTTATGTAAATGGACATTACGCACGAATAGTACAGAGTTCGACAAGAATAGAAACACCGCCCTTACCTTCCTCCTCGATAGCTACACCGGTTCTTCCTACGGGCGTTTTGTCTTTGAATAAAGGAAGCGTAGTAGATGTCGACGAGATCACCACTGTTTACTTCACAACTAAGCAGATTGGCACGCTTTTCAAGGGAACCTACGCCAAAGTAATCGAGAGCGCATCAAGCACCAAGATAGATGAAGAAAAAAAAGCGAGTATTCCGCCGACTCAAGGTCACCGAACCGGCCTTGTGCGTTTGATTCAGGGTCAAATCGAAAATGACGGAACAACTACATTCTATCAATCGAAAGTTATTGGTACTAGTATCAATGGTAGATATGCTCAAATCATCGAAAGTACTTCCAGCTTCTTTGCGTCAAATCCCACGACAAATATTTCACCAACTTCTACTCTACCTCCGAGCCAGTCGACAGGTATTCCAGAAATTTTGCCTTCTCCTGCAGTTATCCAGTCTTCCCTTTCAGAAGATTCCACAACAGAATCTCCGGACCACGACGAGGATTCCAGCCAGAACGAAGAAGACGACGAAGACGACGAAGAAGGCGAAGATGGACAAAGTTCTAAAAAGAAATCACGATTAACATTCTCAACTAGAAAGAGAACGTTCACGCCAGTGATCAGACCGTTCGCCTCCAGGAATAGACCGACGTTTAATCCGAAACGTAAAGGCGCGCAAGCTGCGACGACTATCACCAGAACGGATATAACACCTACGATAACCGCGACTTTGGCTGGCAAAAGTAACAGATTCGCTTCGTCGCGAGGTCGCGTCACTTCGCCCATCGGGCCATATTCCTCAACATTGTCTCCGTCAGGTTCTAGACGATTTTCTGCCAGACGGGGAACAGTTACTTCGAGCTCGGTATTCCCAGCGAGCAGTACTCGCGCTAGAGGACAAACCAAAATAACTCCGTCGTCTGTGTTTCAAAGTAACAGACGCGGACCAACGTCAATAAGAGGATCTTCCTCTAAACTCGCAACTCGCATTTCGAGTTCTGTGTTTCCCGGCGCTTCCTCGAGATATAGACCCGGTATTCGACCATCGTCGACGTTATTGAGAGGACAACCTACGGCTAAGCACGACGATCAAGAGAACGATGCTAATGAATTCACTACAACTACGCTCTTGACAGATGAGACGCCATTCACAGAGTATTTTGAAGGCGAAACTGTTACTACACCTTTGCAGACTACGACAGAATCATCGAGAAGATCTACGAATCCGCTCTTGCGATTCCGCAGGCCTATTAATTTAAACGGTAGATCAGGAACTACTGCACGACCACCGGCGACTACAACACCGAGACGATCGGGAAATTTAAATAGACCGAGCGCGCCGACAGTTCCCAGAGTGACGAACGGACGAACAAATAACCGAGCGACTCCTCCAGTATCCACAAGAAATCGACCAAGTAATACAGGTCTGTTTCCTCCACGTGGATTTCTTGGTAGAAAGCAAGAATCAGCCACTGAAGAGCCAAATGAAGAACACGACAGCGAGGATGACGCAGGTTTCGAAGACGAACAACCCGTTGAAGAGATATCAGATAACGACTATGAAGGATCTGAACACGAAGATAGAAAATCGAATGTAAATGTGAATCGTCGTTCTGGAAAAGCCGTTGGTTCCGTCGTACAAATCAGACCTTTCGGAGCTAGAACAAGAAGAGTCCGTCGTCAGGCTAGTCAATTGAGAACATATAGCAGTCGCTTCCATAGACCCGTTCAATCGTCATCTATAAAAGATGAAGAGAAATCTGATTTACTAGACGCCGTAGCGAGTAAAGATGACATTGTAAAGATAGCACCAAAACCTAGCGCTCGATATAATAATCGAGCGCGGAGTTTGACGCCATCGCAATCACAACAGAAGATATTTAATAATCCGGATCAATCGACGGAAACAACGGAGTTTGTAAATCAGCAGAATAAACCTAAAACCAGACCGAATCAATCTACTAATGGAAATAGAAACGGATCTGTCAGAATAAAACCGTCATCGATCTCGAGCAATGGAAGACAATTTACGTTAAGAGAAAAAGATGCTGCTTCGAACAGATCGGATTACAAGAGACCGACTTCAAGAACGACCAGTAGATCAACCAGTAAAACAACTCAGAACGGAAGAGTGAGACCACCGAGATTACGAAACGGATCTTCCAAATCTTCAACTGGATCTTCAAATTCTCGAAGAGTACCACCATCCCGCGGATCCTCAAGATCGACGAACGTAAGAAATGGAAATAGCAGAAGAGTTCCTACAAGAGGCAGAGGATCTTACGAGGATATCCGTGAATCGCCGACCGTATATCCGAATTTTGATGGCACGATAACCGTGACGCATTACGTACCGACGGAGGTCACGATTCCTGTGATAAACAACGGCGTCACAGAACATCGTAATATCATAACCCAGCAACCCAGCACCGAAGTTCTCAGACCTTCACAATATAGCACGGTAACAGCTGGAGACGGCAAGTCGCTTGTGGTAATCGTCAGCGAAGTTACGGGTACCAACGTTCAAGGCCAGACCGAGGTTACACGATTTTTGCTTCACGAGACACCCACCACACGTATCTCGTACCCTCTTTCAAGCCTCGGTGGTCGCCGCGTCTCTCAATCGGTTATCGTACCCACGACGGTATATTCCGTGGAGAATATAGTTTCTACGATACAACCGTCCTTGTCCGGGAATGCTCCTCTCGCCAATATTCTTCTTTCGCAATTACTACTGGGTCAATTAGGTCCGAATCCCCTGTTACAACATCAAGCTACGCCCACCACACAATATAACACACGCACTACTTCCTACGTCACCACAATAACAAAACATCAAAGCACTGTCATTCCCCTCACTTTCCGCGGAAAAGAGATCTTGACGACTCTAGTCGATTCTTCGACCGACGTTGTCACCGCGACAGAATTCATAACGGACACCGTTGTAGTAACTCCAACAGCCGCGATATCGGCGGCCAACATAAATTCTCTCTTGCTGTTGCTTCAACAACCGCAGCCTCAGCCGCAAAATTCTAATCCGTTGCTGGATCCTCTGTTCGCGCCTCCTCCGTTTACGCAGAGCAACACTCTACCGGGTGAAGTCGAGAGAAGACATCAGCCGGCCGATGGCGACTACAAACACGACATTTACGAGTATTCCGAGGAGGAGGCCGAAGTGGAAGAATATCAGAAGCCATCTAGATCGTACGGCGGACGTGGTAAACCAAATGACAGAAAAAAAGCCTCCGCGGCTTCCAATAAGGTCGAATCCAGCGTAGTGACGCTCTACGTTTCCGGCCGCAGACCCGGAGAATTCAGCACTGTTTTAAGCACTGTAAAAGTCGGTGATTCCGTTACTGCATCCAGAAGACGAAGAGATGCCTTGGAAGAAGCTATCGAAGTCCGACCCTCCATACCGCCATCATTGCACGCTGGACCGGCGGCCGTCGCCATTTTAGCGGGAAGCGAAGATCCCATCGACGCACATGCACCGACACAAAGTCTCGAGAGCGTAGTGGGTGACGTCGGACGGCATATTTCCACGTCCATCTATGCCTAATATTATCTTTTCCGCCAAAAAAAATCTTTCGCTCCTCACCTTCTTCCCTTTCGCCTTTATATCATAATTTCCATAATTTTCTCGAAATCCAGAGAGATCCACAGATCTTAGAATTGCCCGAAGCTAACGGTCTTTCCTAAAATCTCTATTCCATTCGGAGAGCGTTAGTTTAGCTTTCTTCGGACACAGTGGACAAAAAAGAGCAACATTGACGAAAATCGAGGTTGCCGCATAATGTAATATAGATAATAATCGAAACTGCCGAGATCTCCTTTCTTGAAGCAAAAGAAAGAATTGTGGGTAGTTGGCAGCTTCGGTGAAAAGAGAGCTATCCGCGAGGATGGCTATTTCGTATGTCCGTTTTGCAGCTCGCTCTCTCCCAACTTCTCTCGAATCTTTTCTATTCCCTTCTAAAAATTTCCCCTTCGAGCGTCGTTCCCACATTTTTCTCCTATTATACTAACACAGCCTCGATCTGCCGCCGCACGCGCGCCCACACGATAAAGTCGAACATGATACTCTCTTCCGTCGACAACATTACAACAAACAAACACGTCGTACGCTTGTTGCGGATAATGTCACTAAAACGCACAGTGTACGAGGCGAAATCCAATCGGACGTGCATACAAAAACAAAACACAAAATGTCAGCGTAATTTAATTTCAATTGATTAACGCATCACAAAAAAAATCGTCGAAAACAAAGCTTATTCGCAAAGACTTTGATATCGATCGCGGAATGAATCTAAGCATGAGATGGATAATATGTATTCAAACAGACGAGTAGAAACGCATCGCCTTTGCAGGTGATTTCTATGATGAGTCGGTGCAATATGGAAACGTAAACGTCGAACACGAGAGAGAAGGCACCGTCAACGTATGGTCCGCGAATGAGGATGACGTAAATCTTGGGAAAATCGACAACGAGGACGGATCTCTTGAGAACGTGCCGAAAAAACGTGTCAGAATTCGAGTACCTGTGGTGCGTAGCAGAAATGCTAGACAACATAAGCTTACGGTCGTCAGACGTAGACCTTTAACGTCTCGCACGAAGGATCTCGCGTATGTCACATCTACCGATCATGCGCCACGAAGAATCGTGGTAACGCGCGTCAGGACTCTCGGATCGGACAAATCGATCTATCCGACCGAAACTCCTATCGATTATCAATCTGCCATCGGAAAACACAAAGTGACTATAACCAGACGCAGAAAGCTTCAATCCACGCCGATATTATCAATGTCAATCAAGGATAAAGTTAGAGTTACCAGGAAGAAGCTAGTTGCAGTGCGACCGATACTACCGACGCCTACTGTTGCCATTATCACTACCGGATTCTTTACCGTACCTTCCGAGTATGATGAAGAATATTCAGACGAGGAAAATGAGGACGAAGACATGACTGTTGAAGAGGAAGATCATATTGTTGTTACGCCTAGTCTTGAAGAAACACCGAATCTTATTGACAATAAGCCGGATGAGGAAACGAATCTTACGTCGTTGGAAGCCAGTTCAACCATATCCGAAGAAAGCACGTCAGACACGCCAGTGATTATTACCGACAATTTCTTCTTCCCTCAATCTGATGACAAGAAAGATGAAGAATATGAAGATGATTATTTCGACATGACTACTACTACTGAAAATGTTGATAATATTGCCATTTTAATAAAAGATGAACAGCATTCCACCACCGAAGTGATTTCTATAAAGGACGAAAATAATGTCGTGTCTAATAAAAACGACGTTGAGACAATACATGATAATATTACAACATCAATCAGTCAAATCACGTCAGAAAAACCATCCGAGGATCAATCAATAAAGATGATTCAAGAATCCGATAACGCATTGATTAATATAACAGAATTGATCGATGGTTCTTTAGAAAATAGCAATATTACCACAAAAGAATCTAAAATTGCCATATTGAATGAAGATGTACCAGCTACTGAATTTATTCCTATAGAAAAAGATAATGACGATAACTTTGCAACGAAAGAGTACACGACAACTGCCAGTCCTGAAGAGCAAACTACCTTCATGGATGATGTCACTGCATTAAACACGCCTGAATTCACCGAATCTACAAGCCTTTCCGATGAAGAAGATGCTACGAGAATACCTAACACAACAGAAGAATATATCTCATCCATCACCGAGGTGATAACGCTCGGTACGAAAGAAGAGAATCAAGAATCTTCCGAAGCTACCGAGCGCGGCATGATGCCGGAAACGATCAGCGAAATTCCGGAAGAATTACTAACAGTACTGCCCATACGACCGGACGTTAAAATCGACTCTAATTCAACTCAGATTTCTCTAGTCGAAACCGCCCCTTTATCCAATGCCACACTCGCGTCGAGCTTTGAGAGTGTTATACCACTCGCGACTACGAAATTACCGTCGAATTATCCCGCCGATTCGTACATACCCAGCGTGATACCCCTCGGCGCGAATTACACTCGCGAGACAAAATCGTCGGTCCGCGGAACCTCCGTACTTGACACAATTCCCGTAACGAAAGTCACGACCAAGATCGCTTCGCCCACGCCGGAGGAGATCGAGGCCGGACTAACAGATGATCTTTACCTGTCGCTGTCCCGTCTCGATTTCCCCGAGATCTTGCCGTCAAAACCAGCCACGATCGGCTTAGAGACCAGATTTACGCCGGATCTCATGTTAGAGCCAAGCACGAGTGTTTATTATACGGAGACGGTAGTGACGTCGACGCGACTAAGGACGTACACATACGTGGTGACACAACAAAACGGACTGGATACTAAAGTGACATCGTCGACGACTGTACGACCGAGAGTGACGACACTTACGCTGACGGTGCCCGTCACGGTGACTATCACTCCTACCGTGGAGTCGTCAGCCGACTTCGTATCGTCTGTGTATAATCCAGTACCCGTTGCCGGTGAGTAGCCCTTTTACTCATCTGAAACCTCTCTCGCGACAATCACACCGTGCCCTCGAAAACGTTAGTCTTTCTGAGAATTCTATGAAATATCATTAAAATATATATTATTAAAATTGTTACTGTATTGCTCGAGATTCATAAATTTCCAAAGTAAAAGGGTGAAAGTTATAAATAAATAAAAATAGCCATTTTAACGTTGAGTGCACACGGTGATTGCCGCAGTGTGTAATATAATCCTTAGACTAATAAACTTTTTTTTCGCTATAGACTTCCTGATTCTCGATTACGTGAATTTGATTAAACGAAACGAACTATCTGTGCAAATACTCTGTTAAATACTGTGTTATAATTGGCTTTTGGTAATCTAAATTTTTCCTGTACAATACAACCCTGTATATGAAATGTACATATTGTATATGACAAAATGATGCTGTACATATCTAAATTTGCATTTTTTTTCTTATACGATATATATGAATATTAATCATATTGCGTATAAACTATATAATTTTTTCGATTATATTCTCTGTGTAAAAATTTTTCGTACGTTCGATTGTATGCCGAATATATGATTCACTTTAATAATAATATAGATATTTGATCTCGCGAGGAATTTATACTATACAAACGATAGGTAAGCTTATATCTTTTATCTCAAAAAATTTTATTTTGTATATATCATATTTAGATAAGTAATATCTCGTTATTGCGAGGTAATTTTCCCCTCACATATGCAAGACACTGTGATATATTGTTGTTTATGGAATCGTAACGATAGGAGAATATGAGGCGAAGGACGAGGAGGAGGGACGCAGGTTCAATCTAGCGACCCGTGTAATGTCGAATGGCGTGGAAGTCATCGTCGCGGGGCCTACTCCGGCTCTGCGATGGGAGAACTCGAATCCTCAACCTACCCTCACCTTGTCAGACGCGGTGGTCATGCTCCTGCCGCAGGATAAACCGAACGAGTTTGTCACAAAGACTTGCACAACAACTTTCACGTATCTCAGCACGATCACCAAGGATGGAACGACTACCGTCACTACAGAGCAGCAGGTGCTTACGCACATATATCTGGGCGCATTTAATCTTTTCCAAAAAATAAAATATATTAAACGTTCAAATTTTATTCCACTTTTTGCCGTTATCTAACTTGACTATCTAAAATTCTTTTGTTCCTACTGATAAGGTACAGGAAAATGTACAAAAGAGAAATTATTGTATAAGAATATTATGGAGATTTTTATGTATTATAAGTTGTTCAAATTTTTTTGTCAGCTAAAATATAGTATTGATAAAACTGACAGTTTTAATATCACTTATTAAAAAAACAGAAAAGATATAGGTAATCTTGAAAAAAATCACGTAAAAGATAATTTTAACAAAAAAATATGACTTTTTTATGTGAAATAATCTCTTTCTTATTTTCTCATATCATGAATAGAAAATGTTTTACAGATATTCAAGTTTTTAAAATCTTCTGTAAAACTGGTTATTAGTAAAAATTTGTTTTTTTTTTTTTTCTAGGTTGTAGCGAACACGGCGACGGAAGAACGACATAGAAAATCTGGCTCCGAAACGGCAGCTGTGACTCTGGAAGCGTCCCCGACTCTACGTACCGAAGTATTTAAAACGACTTACACGTATCTGACCTTGAACACGGATCATCCGGATGTGAATGACGCTTTGGAAAGTAGCACGAAAGTTATAACAAACACGGTTACCGCACCGCAGCATTACCTAGACATGATTCTCGAGCCATCAGAAGCTCCGCGACCGGAAACAAATACATATCTCAGCACCAGAATGTTGGAAAAAACATTTATGGAAGAAGGTCGTACGAAAATAGAAACGATCAGCGACACGATTACCCAGGTTAGCTCGCTTTTTCGCAAACTCTGCTATTTAATATCGATGCTCACTATGATATCATGTAATTTTATTTTCGATTTATTTGTTTGTTTAGCTAATTGTAACAGAATCAGCACCTCCGCCACGACCGACCAGTGTCACAACTACCTTGACTGCCTTGGATAATACTGACGGTAGCGTGACAGATACAACAAAGACATATTACATCACGTATACATATTTCAGTACATTCTTGGAAAAGGGTAGCACGGTAGTTCGTACGAACGTAGCCACGTCGACTGATGTGGTATTAGAGAAAGTGCCAGTGCGAAAAACCACCATGAAAACCATTCCGATTAATCTTACGCAGGAACCTATACAGATATTTGCTACTAAAACATATCTTACAACCTTCACTTATTTTACGACGTTACTGCAGGTAATTATTGAATTTCTATAGTACAATGTATTACATATATATATATA